ATTCAACAATACAATTTTTCTTTGATTATTTACTTTAATAAATATATTTTTTGTAACTTCTACACATTTTCTCACAATTATTATCAAAAATAATAAGTTCAATTTCAATACAAATTGTACTTTTTTCATATTTTAAGGAAAATGGAGTAGAAAACACAGAAATGTATATAAAATATTCCTTTGGTAAAAAAGCTGTTATAAATATGTTTTTCCTAATGCATTGAAAGAGTTAATCCCTTTGCATATGAATAAACGTTTTTCAGTTAAAAATCATTGATTTTTTACTCGTTTACAGTCATTTTTGTATATAACTTTCATAAAATAAATACGTATGAGTATCTAACATTCTAACGCTTTTAATTTTATTGCTTTGGTTTGAAAACTAGAAAATATACTTTAGACGTATGAGACATTTACTAAAATTGTTTTCTAAATTCAGCTTTCCAGTTTCCAGTAAAAACATGTGAATGTATCAGTTGTCTTTTGATATTATTCTCCCAAAATATTTGTTGAAGAAGTTATAATATTGAGAAAGTTGAGATGATTCTGTTGGTTGGTATTTTAAGAGTAGAGACATGAATTGACTTCATATCACCTCCTCATTAGATACACTCATTACCTTTTGTCTGCAGATCGTTATAGGCGTTCGCCACCTGCTGTTGAAACGAGCAACTGCATAAACAACATAAAATTATGAAAATGATATGGATATTTGCAACAATATCGCAGAAAAATATAAGAACCGCGCGCGAGAGAGGAGAGAGAGAGTAATCTTTTCGGGGCGAAGATTGCGAAATCCATATTTCCATAATTCCATATTACGTTGTTGTTTTCATTTCATTTTACGATAATTGCGTTTTAATTAAGTCTCGGGGCTTGTGCTAAGTGCCCGAACTAATTTGCATTCAAATTTTGCGCCGCAGTTTATCAAATCGGGCCGCAATTATTCTCAACAATCGCAGAAACGGATAGTTGGGCCGGGAAATCGTCTCGATACAATTTCGTTTTAATTAAATCGTCCGATTATCTTTAGTGTTATTAGAGAATTGAGGCCGCGAAATAATGTTAAATAATAATTGCATTTTAATTTATTTCCATATATATATTCAATTAATATATCCAATTTCGTTTGTGTCCTGCATCTCTTTCCCCCTTCTTCATTTCGCTTTTGTAAAGGTTTTCAGTTTGTTCTTTTCGTTTTCACGTTGTTTTATTCTTTTTCATTTCCAAACTTTTGTTTGTTCTTGTTTCGTTCCACCTCTCGAGACTTCTTATTTTGGATCTCGCGATTATCTGGTGAGTGGATTCCGTTGTCCGGCTGCGAATGAGTTCCAGGAAAAACAGTCGTGGACCGTCGCGGATCTCAATTTATTGGCACCGAAAACACAACCAAAACGAACTTGAAAGTTTCCACTCGTCCTTTTTTGTATACATTTCTTCACCCTTTTTTTTTTGGAATGAAATCCGCTTGAGTTTCTGTCGCTATAAATAGATATAACGTCCGAAATTTATAATAAATGATGTTAAGAAGTTAATATTTTTCTTTATATTATACTTAACATATTAGGTTACAATCTAATTTACACTTATTTTCAATTGTTTCTAAGAAATACTATATCTTTTGTTTCATAAACAGATTGGGTGATGTAAAAAGTTCTGAGCGTTTTTCGTTAGATGGTTTTAGAGAGCCATATCTCACGATGTATACGTTGCATATTGTCATTATATACTGCAAGTAAAAGGAGACATAAAGCTTTAAAAAATGTTCTTTGACAGTTTTGTGTTTAGTGAATCCAGTTGTGTGTTAGAGGATTCCAAAATGGACGTAAAAAAATAGAAAATTCGATACATTCTTCTGTACCACTACGACCAAGTGGAAAAGCGGAGCAGGCGGCCAAACAAAAATGTGTTGTTTATGTACCCAATACAGTATCGAATGCAACAGCAAAACGTTGGTTCCAACGCTTCCGTTCTGGTAATATGGACGTAGAAGATGAGACATTTCTGGTAGGTCAATCCTCGAAAATGTTGATAAAATCATAGAAATCGTCGAATTGGACCGACATATGAGCACTTATTCCATTTCCCAGAAGAAGAAACTGAAGATTTCCCAGGAACTGAAGATTAGCCGTTTGGAACCATTTGCTGCTGGTCTCAAGAAAAAGCTCTATGTATGGGACAAAACGCTCAAAACTTTTTACTTCACCCGATATATTATCATACTTCAGGTTGCGTTACTTCTGATAATGAAGCTTTGATTCATAATTTCAAGCCCGAAAATCAACTGACAAAATAGACGGATTGATAGATTGTCAGTGAAGAATTTAGTAAAACTTTGTATCAACAAAGATAATGAAAATTAAATTACAGAAATTCTTTTATGTCTTTGTTTATTTAAGAAAACTTTTCATTTTCTATACGAAGAAAAGTATTTTCATTCTGTCCATAATATTCTTACCTCTGAAAACGAAGTTTCGCTTAACAAAGTTATTTCGTTGAACAAGGTATGACTGTATGGAAGAGGATAGCTTAAATTAAACTTTTTTTCCTTATTAAAAATAAAATAGAAAAAAATATAGAATGTAATCACGATTTTTCATTCGTTTTATTAAAAGTTTTGTAAATTCAAATCGTTACATAAAAATAAGAGGTTATCATCAATTTTTTTTATATTTCTCCAATAGTAATTTCATTAATTTGTATATAAAAATCACATATTTTCATTAGAAATTTGAAGATTCTACAAAAACTTAATAAAAATTTTATACTAATAAAAAGAAACACTTGCAATTGAACAAAATTACATTCAATTTAAAATCATTTACATTACATTTTCAATAACAACTTTACTACTCACTTTTTTAATTGCAAAATTGATTATTTTTATATAAAAAAGAAATAAGAAAAAATTAGATAAAACAAAGTTATTTTTCACAATTATACAAATGTATCACATTACTTTTATGTTTATTTCTCTTTTTCAATTTATTACATATAAGTATCAATTTTTGTAACTTTATATTGGTATTACTATTAAAATTGTTAGAAAATATTTTATAAAAAAAAATAACAAATTGCTATTTTATATAGAAGATTTGTTTGTGTAAACCAGAGGTCTTCAAAATACGGCCTGCGAACACAATAACTGATACACATAATGAAATAAAACATTGTACTTATGATTAATGAGTTTTATGTAGCTGTAACTTTCCACTGAGAATTGTTTGTATTTGTGGATCAAGTTTACTAGTGAAAATTATGAGCAACGACTTCAAATACTCATAATTTGGATCTGTAAATAGTTTTTTTGGTATATGTCGTTTTGGAGAATATTTTGGCCCTTTATGGATAAGTCAGTATAGATCTTAGGCTAAGAAGTTTGGAAACCTCTGGTGTAAATAATAAGACAGAATATAATTTCTAAATAGTAATTAACAGAGATATTTGATTAAAAATAATATAAAAACAAAGACAAAAAATAGATTTAAACAGCAAATTTGGAATAAATACGGCTTCGATCAATCCGGATTTGAAAATTTCAAAACAAACTAAAATTTCAATTGAGCAAAAATGAATTATTACATTGCTGTATGTGTAATTAATCATAGATTTTAACAGTATCAAACAATTTTTATTAGTTACAATGCAACCAAAGGGCTATCGGCCTAACTCTTTCCGCCCAGAGGCACAAAAAACATAAATTCTCACAATAAATCATATAAAAAATGCATTCTGAAAAAAGTAAGACGTACATATATGTAAATATAAAAAAGATGAAATTATAAATTAAGCCAAAAAAAGTAAATCTTCTCGAAATAAACAAATAATAATATATTCTGAAGCATCCTTTTTTATTTATATTTCTTCAGCATAGATTTATAATTAGCATATTAAAAAAATCTAATATAAATTTCAAAAAAAAAATCACCAACAAAAAATATGTTATTGTCATTAGTTTATGTTAATTTTATTTGTTTTTTTTTTCTGTATAAATCTTACAACCTAATTAAGTTTAATTACATATTTAACACCAAATAAATATAAAAGCTACATTTGTATTTCTCTTTACACGACGATATTAGGAATAATCGCCTTACATCTTTGGAATAACTTTATTACGCAACAATTTACGATCACTGTATTAAACACATTACGTTTCGCAATAGTTTAATAATAAAAAAAGAAAACTTAGTTTTGAATAGGAAAATAAAAGTTATAATACAAATTAAGTTTCAGGTAATTTACATTTGTTTATTTGTTTTCAATTACAACTAACGTTATATTTCCTTGTTTTCATTATTTTCATGGAATAATTGATGGAAATGTTTCTAATATTCAATGATCATTAATTTACACATACATACAGTGGAACCTCGCTTAACGTGTTTAATTCGTTCCAAAATTTTCAGATTTTTACTCGTGTAGTGAAACATACACATAATATGTATACACAAGTTTTAAAAATGATGTAGCAGGCGTGTAATCCCGGACTTTTCTTCTCATTGTCACTCGTTATGCGAAACGTCGTTCGTTAAGCGAGTCATTTTTCATACAATTCATTTTGTTAAGCGAGGTTCCCTGTACTTATTTTACAATTAAAACCAAAAACAATATGATTTATTTCCTTTGATTAAATTATTCTCGTGGAATAATTGATGGAAATTAATCTGCTTTAAATGATCAACTTTCATCTATTAGTTTAAAGAAGTTGAAAAGTTTGTTCGTTCAGACAATTTTTCTCTTACGTATTTAAATAAATTAGTTTCTTTTTTGGGCGTATTTACAGTGCAACTCGTTTTTTTCTCTTTTCCTCAAGTCTCGTCAAGTCTCATTAAGTAGTTAGTAAAGTTTAGTTTAATTATTCAGCTTGCTGTGATGCTTTAAGTAAATGGACTTTGGCAGTTTATTTGATATTGATAATATTAGTTAATAATTAATAGTACAATGACTAGTCCACTTTCTTAAAGTAAAAAAAAAACAAACAATTTGTTAAAGCCATATTTTTTTTGTAAAATTTGAAATTTATAGCTGATTTAATTAAGTGTACTTAATATAATAGTTTGTCTATAATTAACCTGAAGTTGGAAATACTGTTAATTATTTCTTAATGAATTGGTTTAATGATTTTGTTTTAGTATATTTAAAGAAATATTGCTTTGTACCAAATTGAGTTTTCTCGTGCGTTTACATTTGATTTACAATTGAAAATATTAAGCGTGGAAAATGTGGACGTCGTTAATCTCAAAGAAAATAAGTGGATTCGTTACCAATTTAGTTTGTTGGTATCGAATGAAATTTCGAGTTAATATTACATAAAGGAAGCAGTTTTTTGTTGGAATGCAGTGTCGTTCTTTTTATCTTTCTTTCTCTTTTTGGATGCAGCTTTGATCATCCAATGCTAACGGTTAAGCATTGGAGTCGTGTCCGTTGGATTCCTGGTCGGATTGATGATGGACAAAGTTCGGTCTGTTCGCTAAAGACGTTGAGGTGATGACCGTTGCCTGTTCTTCGTTGTTAACCCGAACGTTATTTTCCATTTGCGGCATCCTGCAAGCAAATGATTGTGTGTTCAAGTATTTTTCTCATGTATGTCGTTTGTTTTGTTCGTGGTACCCTCTGATAAGGGCCGGCAGCCTGACGTTCTGATGCGTTGGAACGTTGTTGGTGAGGACGATCTGCGGTTGATAATGATCACCCATCGATCCTGACATCTCCGGCGGTTGATACGTCTGGATCACTGTGCGACAAAGGAAATTCAACGGATTAACGAAGTTTGCTAAGAAAAGAAATAACTTCTCTCTCGAGTGGTTTTTGACACACGAAACGTGTCTTGACTTAAGTCGAGAGATGGATGAATTATGACCATCCACGCCCACGCAATCCGAACTCCGACTCTAGCGAAAAGTTTATTTACGTTTCTGGGATGGATTTCCTTATAAAAGGAGGAGTGCGGCTACTGGAATTGGCGAACAGATTTTCCGGCTTTCGGATGGACAATGGTCTATGGGTGGATACTTACGCATTCTTCCGTGACCCATGGACCCATTCATCGAGCCCATATGATGCGACTGCTGTGAGTTCTTTGGCTTCCTCTTGCGCGTCTGGATTCCCTCTTTCTTCATCGTCGGTGGACGATTTACCTATATAAATCAATATAGAAAATATACATTAAATGCCATTAACGACCGAGGTCTTTCAGATCTTAATAACTTAATTTAGTAGACTTAGAAATAGAAGAATATGTAAATACCAATAAGCAACTAATTAAAAAATCACAATTTGTGGAACTGATGATTTTTGAATTTGAAAATGACAATATTTATACGCTTTGACTTTTTTATAACATTTTTTGATTACAATGTATTCTATTAAAATGTTAAACAATTTACATTAATTATAAAGCATTATCTCCCACAGTCCGGCATTGATTAGTCCGGATTCAAAATAGTCCGGATTCAAAATAGTCCGGTTGAAAATCTCTAATCAAACAAAATTCGAATTCAGCAAATTCTAAAAAATTAATAACTAAAATTATTTTTTTGTATACATAAATGATCAAATTCTGTTCCAGTTTGAAACATATTCGTAGATCCGCACTATGTGAAGTTTTAATGTAATTGTAACAAATTCTGACTTATAATAATGATTTTGATAAATATTATATAAATGTAAGAAATATAGATATATTTTTAATTACTTTTATTCTTCATTTATTGAACTATAGTATTCTCTGAGATAATTACCCGCACTGTGCGAGGTATTTGCTGTAATTGTAATAGAAATCTAAACATTATTAAATGAAAATGTTGGAATTCTAAACAAATCTAAATTAGAACATTTCAAACATTTAAATCCAATATGTTTTTCTATATTCTATTGTTAATTTTATAATTATTTGTTTTTAATATTAAAAAAAACATTGTACTCTTAACATCTGTTGCATTTGTTAGATACAACTTACTTGTATCTGTTAGAAACTAGAAGATTATTAAATATTGCTTAAACAAATTGTAATTTTGAACATTTCAATTAATTATTTTTACTTAGTTCAAATTTATCATCATTATTTTTTAAAGTATAAAAATAATTCTGACAAATTAGACAAAAACGAGGAATAAAATTTTAATCGATTAAAATAAAAAAATTGAAATTCTCAACTGTGATTATGTCTGTTTTTTGTGATTATGTCTGTATTATTTTTAATCAGCTGTTACATTAATACTGTATTTAAAGCAATTCTTTGCATAGTGCGGGTAATCGCTTCAACAAATATTCCGCATTGGTTGAAACCGATCTAATCCTGGACTTTAAAACCGCATAAAAATAAAGAACAAAAACAATAACTTAACAATTTAAAGGGGGAAACGACCAATTATGTATAAGTTTTGTATATTATTCAATTAAAATTTAGTTTGTTTTGTTTAGTTATTGATGTATTTTTGCTAGAATTTTAAAATTACATGTCTTGTGTTCATGTCTTTAGATTTAAGAGTAATTTAAATTTCATATATATATATATATATTAATAATTTGTTAACAATTAAGAACTCGAAATTGTCTTTTTTATTTCTCTTGAATATGTCGATAAATCTTTTGTTATGTTTGTTTAGAATAATGATTTTTCTAAATCTTATACAAGAATCTATTAAAAAGTAATTTCATAAATGTAAGAAATACAAATATATTTGCATTTACTTTTGTTTTTCATTTCTTGAACTATTCTTAGAAGTAATTTAATTTTCTTGTTAATATTTTCCATTTACAAGAGAACAAACGTAATCCAATATATTTTTTATTTGAAATTCTATCATTCTATCAGATTAAATTAAAACAATTGAAGTTTCCGCTTAACAAATTATAAATAAAAAAAATATTTATATTAAGTATAATTATTATTAATACTTAAATCTGTATTAACTACAACACAGTTAATATTATTACTAAGTAATTTACGTAATCTTTTTTTAAATGATTGAATTGATTTCGATGTAAATAATTGATACAAAATTTTAATTTCGTTTATATTACTGTAAAATTGTATATATTTTTTATATAAATATAAAATGAGTGTATTAATAAAAGGTGCTTTCCTTTTAGGCTGCACTTATAAGTGAGCTAAAAGCGTGGCTGCAGATAAATGATATTTGACGTTGACCATAAGCTAAATTGAAATGCTAATGAATTGCTGAAAGACGGCAGTTTCTTATTATCGTTAACACATTCGTTCGTATTCACTTAGCAAACTTGAATGTTTATTGTATCACAACCAATCAGAATGACAAAATTCTTCAGATTATTGATTACTGATATATAATTATTCTATTTAATATTTTTCTTATAATAATATTTCTTACATTTCTTAGAAAATTTAGTATAAAGATGAACAGTTTTTGTAATGAATTATGCATAATTCAATTGGAAGCAAAAATGGTTGTTTATGCAACACACTGTACTTTATGGTCATCATTCATGATATCTTTCAAAATATTTACTAATGCCAGGAAGATAGATGTTGCACTTGTTTTATTTTGGTGCAACTTGTTTTCTTGTCCGATAAGGCGAGGTGCGACGATGATTATGATGATGATGTACGGCATTGTGGTTTGTGATAATAAAAAAGGCTTCGTTGCCAGATAGTAATTATTATCGCCAGTCTTCCTGATAAAACCGCATTGCAGATATGTCTTTATCACAGTTGAAAGTTTGTAATATATATAATTAATGCTACTATTAGACCATGTTATCCGTCTACGCACGAGTCTAGACCACAGAAACGCCTGATAATCTCTTACTCTCTAAATTATCGCGAATCCAGCATGCGCTTCAAACAAACATACGCGTATTTTGAGTATTTAATAAATTTTGGTGATTATAACAATGTTAAACAAGTAAGTCGTTGTTCTTACTTAGTATTTCAAACTGTATCAACTGTTATGCAGCTTGCAATTCCAGTAAATCTTAGCTGTCATTTCAGTTTGTCATCAGTTTCCATGATTGATGTCAAACTGAATTGACAGATGTCTTAATGGTACTTTTGATTATCATTTGCATCAGATCAAGCATAGTGTGGATGTACCATAACGATAGTAATTATATACAAGTAAGTTGTTATTCTTAATTCGTATTTCAAGTTGTACCAACTGTTATGTATATACAATAAGTACAGCTTGCATTTCCATGTAATTCTAGTAAATAAATATAATCTTAGCTGTCACTTCAGTTTGTCATTAGTTTCCATGATTGTTGTCAAACTAAATTGACTGATGTCTTAATGGTAACCAATATAAGTTGGTACTTCTGATTATCATTTGTATTAGATCAAGCATAGTGTGGATGTAACATTATGGTAGTAATTATGTACAAGTAACTTGTTATTCTTAATTAGTTTTTCAAGTTGTACCAACTGTTATGTATATACAATAATTACAGCTTGCATTTCCATGTAATTCCAGTAAATAAATATAATCTTAGCTGTCACTTTAGTTTGTCATTAGTTTCCATGATTGATGTCAAACTGACTTGACCGATGTCTTAATGGTAACCAATATAAGTTGATACTTCTGATTATCATTTGCATCAAATCAAGCATAGTGTGGATGATAGTAATTATATACAAACAAGTTGTTATTCTTAATTAGTATTTCAAGTTGTACCAACTGTAATGTATATACAATAATTGCAGCTTCTAGTTCCATGTAATTCCAGTAAATAAATATAATCTTAGTTGTCACTTCAATTTGTCATTAGTTTCCATGATTGTTGTCAAACTAAATTGACTGATGTCTTAATGGTAACCAATATAAGTTGGTACTTCTGATTATCATTTGCATCAAATCAAGCATAGTGTGGATGAAACATTATGGTAGTAATTATATACAAGTAACTTGTTATTCATAATTAGTATTTCAAGTTGTACCAACTGTAATGTATATACAATAATTGCAGTTTCTAGTTCCATGTAATTCTAGTAAATAAATATAATCTTAGCTGTCACTTCAGTTTGTCATTAGTTTCCATGATTGATGTCAAACTAAATTGACAAATGTCTTAATGGTAACCAATACAAGTTGGCACTTCTGATTATCATTTGCATCAAATCAAGCATAGTGTGGATGTACCATTACGATAGTAATTATATACAAGTAAGTTGTTATTCTTAATTAGTATTTCAAGTTGTACCAACTGTAATGTATATACTATAATTGCAGCTTCTAGTTCCATGTAATTCCAGTAAATAAACATAATCTTAACTGTCACTTCAGTTTGTCATTAGTTTCCGTTATTGATGTCAAACTGAATTGACAGATGTCTTAATGGTAATAAGTTGGTACTTCTGATTATCATTTGCATCAGATCAAGCATAGTGTGGATGAACCATTATGATAGTATTTATATATCTGAAGATTTTTTAAAAATTATTTTTTGACTATTCAACCTTCAATAATGAATAACTTTAATAATAAATAATTGACTAAATTTTGGAATATTATAAGTTTGTTACACTAAAACTTATTTTTCAATTTTAATAGCAATAATATTGATTAACATTAATGTGAAATTTTATAACGTAAGATTAAATTTTCAGCAAGTAAAAAATTCACTAGAAAATAGTGTTTTCAATTGTGTTCATTAAGTTGCAGTTATGTAACTACTTTGTTATATTTATATAAATATATTTAGTAAGTTCAAGTTTTTGTACGTTTTTTTACTTACACCGTGCAATTTGAAGTACAATCCGCAGGCATTGCACACTGGTTCTCCATTGTTGTTCCTCCTCCATAGGGTCGTTTGATGGGTGTCGCAGTTAGCGCACTGCACGTTATTCCTTCGAGTGTTGACCTCCAAGAAGAACAGTACAATGTTAGAGGTGTGTACTCACTCACTCGTATGCACGATATGGATAGCATAGGCAACCAAATCAGCACATTAAAATTACAAATCTCATAATCCTTACCATCGTTGGCTTCTTCTGCGTCCGCACCGGCGCCACCCTCATCGGATTCGGACGCATCGTGATGCAGGACGTGCACAGGATGTTCCCATTGTTGTCCTTGACGCAATTGGTCGTCACCCCTTTGCCGCAATTCACGCACTGCTTCATTTCCTCCCTTATCATGTTCGGGTCGTAGCTTTCACTGATGATCTGCGCGTATCTAAGGAAAATCGTTATTTATGACGATAAACCTCTTCTGAAGACTTCAACTTACCCGTAACTGGAATAGTCCATCGTGTTCGACGATGGATATTGGTTGAAATTGGAGGTCGAAGGTTGGCTGTAGTTGGGAAAAGTCAGGAGCGTGCTGTTACTTCCGTTCTCGCCCATCAAGGTCATCGTGTTGTTCTGCTGGATATCACAATTCTGAAGTAAATCCGCGACAGTCATTACACATTTCATGTAAATCAAATTAATCTTGACAATTATCCGAATATAATTGAGATCTAATTGCAACTTTTTCTTTTAAAACTTCTTGAATGCAAAGATTTGAACAACTGATTAAAAAACTAATCAGAACATGATAATATCGTATAAACTTGAGGTATTGTTACAATTCATTACTGTATGAAATTATTTAATTGAATGATTCAAGTAAACTTTAACCTGAAGATGAAAATACTGAAGATTCAACACAAAAAAAAAACAGGTCTACCAATTTCCATATACAGAGTAACATTACATAATTAATCTTTATAATATATAAATAAATAATTACAAACAAATATTCATTTATAGCAAGTTTCCTGATTTCAAGTTGGATAAATCAAACGATAATCAGAAGATGAAAATACACGATTTAATTAGAATAACACATATTAATTCTATCAGGAATTACACATTTTTATTGCACTTCAAAATCATCAAAAATTTAACCTATAAATAATATGATTTTCATAATTGTTAATTATCATTTAAGTTAACTAATTACTTTCGATTTTAAAATGATATCCAAATTAGCACACTTTATTTTTACTAATGCGTAATTTAAAATAATAAAAAAATGAACTTAAAAAATATACAAAAATATATATTTGGATTAATTTATACTAAATTTTCATGTTATTTTATATAAATAATTCTATTTTAGCTTCGTTTTGTTACTTTCGCAAGTCAAAATAATCAAAATTTGAAGAAAATATTTCCATATACCATATTAATTAGAAGTCTATAAAATTATTAATTAATTAAAATTGAATAAATAAGTCACAAATTTGAAACTCAACCAAATGATGAAAATAATGTTTAAGTCTAATTACAATAACAAATAATGTTTTCTGAAATAGTTGATTTAATTTAGTTCGTATTTATGTCAAGGAATGTAAATGTAAATTGTCCAACGAATAATCTATTGATTGAAGCGCAAATTATTTTATGATTTATCTTCAAAGCACGTTTAAAAATCTTCAACGATTTTCATTATGAAGTTCGGTTCACCTAAACAAAGCAAGCGCACTTATTTTATGTGCCGACTTCTCGTTATACAACGTTGTTCGGTCGTTTCGCTTCTCCTTTTTTTTGTGCGTTATTTCTTTTACGTTCACTGTGACAACGTAACAACTGCTCACAATGTCACGAAATCTATAAATTTTGATGTTTCAATTTCGTTTGGAAATAATTTCTACACTTTCATAATTAATTTAATAATAATAAAAAAAAACTTGAGAGGTAACTTTTACTAAATCTTTAAATAATGAGAAATAAAATTATAAATGTTAAAAAAAAATAAATTAAAAGCAAATGCAAATTTGTTATTTAAACATCTAAACTATAAGCCTCGAGTGAGACGTTTTCGTTAAATGTAAAGTATGCGGAGAATGCAACGCGAGAGGTACGCAGTTAGTTAATGGTCCAATTCATTATGTAACTCTTTTCTTGCAATATTAACAAGAAAAATGATAAAAATAATAAATGAATATAATTTAATTCTATCAACCGCAAATTGAAATAAACCGAAAGAGGAAAAGGAAGTTCATTACGATATAAAATTAACTATCAAAATATTTCATTTTAACAGATATATAAATGTGTAGTTTATGCATTTTTTTTAAATGCAGTGTTAGTATTATATAATTTTAATTTAAAGAATTGTAAATATAGAAGTCTGCTTATCTTTGCAGTCATATTGTTTTTTTCATAATAAATTAAATTCAAGTTATTGTTAAATGATGTGGACTTACCCCAAAGAATCTGTTGTCGGAGTAGAGGACGTTGTCATCGGGTCTAGCTGCTTTGACGGTAAAGTTGTCGTACATGTAAATCTCTTGGGGTTCCTGGTATTCCTGCGGTTGGAACTGACTGTTCGAGGCAACGCTCTCCAACTGTGTGTACTGCACTTGCTTAATATCGTCCTGCTCGTACTGCTGAGGTGCTTCGATGTGTAAAGAATGCTGCATCTGTCCACTTGTGATCTCCACTGTGTACTGCTGCTCTGGGTATTCGGCGCCGTTCACCTGGGTGTAGGTAGCATCCGCGGCGAGGATGGCGCCTTCGACGAACTGCTGCTGCTGTTGTTGTTGCTGAGGTTGTTCTTCGTACTCGACCTGTTCGATGTTGTTGTTGGGCGAAGAGGTTTCAACCGCATCCTCCTGCGATACCCTCGGCTCCTCGTTTCTTCCGATCAGTGTCCCAGCAGTGGTAATCACCTGCGGCCTCATGATGACCGTCGACTGCTGCTTGGGCGTTGCCTCCTCCTGCTTAATCTCTTCAGGTACCGTCGGCTGCTCCTCAACCTTCGCCTCCGCCTCGACCTCTCCTCCTTCCAAAGGCGAGATGGTAGCTGCCGTCTGCTGCTGCTGTTCTTCCTGAGGTAAAGTCTCCTGCTCATCCATCTGCAAGTGAAGCAACTTTGTCGTTTAGAAACAGCGCTATTCTGAGGAACATTCGTTCCGCTCGTACTGAGCATTCGAAATAATGTGACGATGAAAATCTGGGCGCGCTGCGCTGCGAGAGCATATATGTTGTTACCATTTGAAGCACTTTATTACCATTTTTCCCCGTTCGTCCGATGTTTTGTCAAGTCAAACAATTAGTCATTCCGCATCTCACTTGAACGCGTGTCGTGTGCTTTGGATGAGAGAGAGAAATGTTCCGGAGACGACAGTTTCTTCGTCTTCCCCGCATATTTACTCCCGGTATTGTCTCCGGCCCGTACCTCTTTTGTTTCTGTTTACACGACGCCTTTTTAATAGTTCTCTTTACAAAACCCAGTCTCTGGTACCAATTCTTTTTTTTTTCTTTATATTTTATGGTATACGTTCGTACCTCTCGCGTTTGCATTCTCCGCATACTTTCCGTTTAACGAAAACGTCTCACTCGAGTTTTACCGACTTAGCTTTATGACTTTATTTTGCATACGAAATGCACTTTCGCGACCATTGTCAACGAGTTTCCTTGACTTCCAGCAAACCTTCGGTAAAACACGAAAATCTGAAACGTTAGACCAAATCCAAGAACTTACTGCTTTCCTTACTGTTCATTTCATATAATTCTTACTAACTGAATGTCATATTTTCTTTATTATCTTAACAAATGTAAGGCTTATTTCTTAATATAAAAACATCTGTATCATATTTTCTATCAATCAATATCATAATTCCTTTATAATCATACTAAATGTTAGGAGTATTAATTTTTTTACAAAAACTTTATACTTTATATTCCAATATTGAGAGCATATTCACATTTTCGTAACTCTTAGCAAACAATCGTTAAATTTAAGCGTGAAATAGGAAAATTCTTTATATAAAAACATCTGATTTTCTTATTTAATACTTTAATTAGATTGAGCACAAAATGGAGACAATTTGAAATTCCCTAACTCGTAACAAACAATTATTAAAACTAAGAACCTAACCAACTGCTTAATCTTACTTTTTAATTTTGTGTTGAGGAGTAAAGTTTGAATTGGCTACGTGCGCTTTATACTTTTGCCACGGCTCTGCTGATTATTTATTATAATTTGTAAGAACTTGATATCATAATTCCTTTATAATCGTACTAAATATTAGAAGTATTAGTTTTTTTAGAAAACCTTTATACTTTATATACCAATATTGAGCGCATATTCGTATTTTCTTAACTCCTAACAAACAATTGTTAAATATAAGCGAGAAATAGGAAAATTGGTAATATATACATTTTATATTCTTCTTACTAACGAAATGTCACCTGTTCTCTTTAATCTTATTAAATCTAAAGTATTTATGTAAAGTCGTCTACTTTTTTTTTTTAAATTGAGCGCAATGACAAAATAGATATAAATTTCTTCAACTTTTATAAAAAAAAAAACATTTATAAAAAATAAGCTAGAAATATTTCAAAAATTCTATAAATAATAAGAAATTACTGATGTTTATTCAATAATATTTAAAGAAATATCATATTTAAAGGCGTTTATAAAAAAATTCCTGATTTTAGAACTTTAAGTATTGATTAAACACCTTTAGGTTTCATTAAATTACAACAAAGCTTTGACAAAACTAAGCTAGAAATATGGAAGAAATATGATCAAATCTATAATATTATAAATATATATTAAAATTCTGTATAAATATGAAATACTTTTCATTACATGAACATTAATAGAAAATGAGTAAAGTTAAAAAATAAAAACTTTTTAAACATTAAATTTAATTAAATTCTGTGTCAACAAATAGATTTCTTAAGTTTTATTCAAAATCTTAATTATTTAAATACTTTGATACTTAAACCTGAAACTATGTGCACTTTTAGTGTTTTCCAAGAAAAAAACGAAACGAAAGAAAATCAGCAAAAAAAAAATGTGGGCTAAATCAATAATATTTCTTACGAATTAACAAATACTTGTATGTAAATATACATAAACTGGTTTGTTGTACTAATAATTCAAGAGTTTTCAATTAATGAATAGTAGATTTTCAAATGTGAATTTGTAGATTTTGATTTGATACTTCAAAACTTGTTAAATGAAATTAATAAATCTACAATTTTTTATTCTTTGACCTAAAAATAAAATGAAAATTCTTCTTAAGATTGTTAAGTTAAAATTGTGAAAAAAATATTTTAAATTTAGAAATATACATGTAATACAAAATTTTAACAAATTCAAATATATACAAAAATCATTTAGTAGATTCGATTTGCTTTCTATTTCTATTGTTTCCCCTTTAGAACGTCGGAACGGTGTTTGTTCGAGTACAAGAATTTTTTGGGCAAAGTAAAGTTTTCGATGTGTTTCCGTTCGTGTGGCGGAAATAATATGTTTGCACAGTTCGTCCGTCACTCGTACGAACGCCGAAAAACCACGTCACACCACTTCCGATGGAGAGGATACTCATTCCTGCGACACCTCAACATCATCCAATACCCGTTTCATTGAATAAATACACTACATCATTGACGATCCCACATAACGTACACCTTTTTGAATTTGCAACTCGCGTTCGTCGTTTTATCATGGCCAAATTAATTTTTGTTTGTTCTAAACTATATCTATTTTGTTACACACATCTTTAAGTAAACACAATTTTAGTTACATTTTTCATAAATAAAAACTCTAATAAGATATTATTAGAAGTTCTCAAGTAGTTAGAAAGTAATGATTATAAAACTTTCAATTATTTTATAAATCTTCGTTGTTTTAACCTCTGCTTCTTCTTATTTTCTGATGAAGAGGAATTTGTAATTAAAAATTTGTATACTTTTAAAATGTATCAGTTAAAGACATTATATTTAAATCGTCGTTGTTAAACATAGTTTAAAAAATATTTTCAAACAAAGAAATAATGTTTCAACCTCTGCTTCTTCTTAAATGTAAATTCTTGTTAAAATGTATCCGTTAAAGATTTTCCATTTTCAATTATTATTTCATATTTTATGATTTAATCAGTGCGGATTCACTATAGTACGGTTTCAAAATTTAAAATAAATTAGTACTCATATTTATTTCTTATTTTCTAGGAAATGATTCCTCCATCTATGACACTAAACGTAACTTATGCCCAAAGTGTTTACTAAATGCCGGTTCAATATTGTATTGACTGCGGCACAAATAAGTTGTTTTTATGCATGTTCGTTCTTGCACTGCAGTGTTGGTGTAATAGCGGACAATGCTGATACCTCTACTCACGATTATATAAAGCACAATGACGACACTTTTGACTCAGAAATTATTATATTAAAGTGTTACAAATAGTTATGAATGTAATAAAAAAGCATTAGTTAACTAGAATCTGTTTTTTCTTGTCGTAATATAATCTTTGTATGGCAGTAATACACGTGTTGTTTAAAATACACCGCGCGAGTAGTTACCGTAGCCCGAATATAACGCGACTCCGAAATTTTCATAAAGATATTTAGAGAAAAAAAAATAATACGCATAAAAGAATTTTCTTGTTTATATTATATTACATTCCATTACATAAACCCAGAATTTAGCGCTATATTCGGTAATAAAAATTTCAGTGCTCGAGTATTTAAAGCATATATGAATGATCGACTTTTTCCTGTATGTGGTTTTAAAGTCATCGATTGGTACGGTTTCAAACAGTGAAAAAAACAAGTTCTATGATTATTTTAGTGGATTCATACAATCATGTTAGAATTAATAAAATGTAATCTGAATTGTTATTGTGATTAATAAACGACGTAACTCATTCATAGTCTACTATCGCATTCAATTCAACAAATTTCATTTCTTATCATGTAAACTTTGTTTCGCAACATTTTTTGTGTGTTTAATTAAACACTATACGAATTTACAGTCTAATACATTTTAATTTTATTACTTCATAATATATATTTATTTTGGATTTTACTCTTCTGTTGTTATTCATGTTATGAATGTATTTTTCTATCATGTGAACTTGGCTTTATATTTGATAATTTAATTTATAACATTTATACAAGAATTTATTACATCTCATTTTATTGATGAATAAATTGGTGAAAAACAAACATTTTTGTATCTTTCCATTATTATTAAAAATGTGTAAACATATTAATCTCAGAATTAATCCCAAACTTCAAAATTATTGACGTTTATGAATTTTTAATAATCGCATATTACCATGAAACAAAGTACAAAGTTTATCAATTAGAAACAATGACATTACATTTAAAAGTTAGATGATTTTTAGAAATTGTGCAAATAACGTGAACATTCAAGAGTTGAGACAGTTTAGGAAATGTGTATATAGAACCAACGTTATGGAATACAACAACAAAGTTCCTGAACATAACATATAAGGTTAGAATTATATATACAAAGATCTGAGGTTATGAACATTTAATTTTATTCAATATATTTAAAATACGTTTGTATATTTATGAAAAATTATATATAGTGGCATTTTTTTGTTAAATCTAATGTTCACGGCCTTATTTCTACCAATAACTAAATATAGTGACATAAATTTAAAGTTGGTACACAGAAATTTCAGCTGTCAATTCAAATTTATTTAAACTCTTCAACAACTTAACAAAAAAAAACAGCAATACTTCGATCAGTGCGAATTCACTATATTTCAAAACAATATAAAAAGTACACAGAACTATTATTTTTATACATAGATGATCAATTTTTTCTTTTATATAATTAAATCTCTATTTTGTGTGGTTTATTTTTGTATGTTCAGTAATATAGTGTGGGTAACACTATGCGAGATATCGATTCCGTCAATATCCCGGACTATTTGAAACCAGGACTAATCTAAGAACTAAATACATACGAAAATAAACCGCACAAAAAGAGATTATCCAAAGCGGATTATGGTGAATCCGGACTGATCGAAACCATACTATGCGAGTTATTAACGTATTTAGTAGACATGTTTTTGTCACTACATTTACT